CCTGCTAGAGCTGCCCCGGTCAACACGAAGTGGTTGGCAACACAAGCTCACAGAACGGGACCGCCGAGTGCTGATGCGCGTAAAAAATCGTCCGTCCTCGGTTGCAACACTCACTACCGAGTTCCAAACTGCCTCTGGAAGCAACATCAGCACAATAACTGTTCGTCGGGAGCTTCATGAAATGGGTTTCCATGGCCGAGCAGATCACCATGAGCAATGCCAAGCGTCAGATGGAGTGGTGTAAAGCTCTGGGTTTGGCGGATGCCAGGAGAACGCTAAGTCCCCGACTGCATAGTGCCCACTGTAAAGTTTGGTGGAGGAAGAATAATGGTTTGGGGCTGTTTTTCATGGTTCGGGCTAGGCCCCTTAGTTCCAGTGATGGGAAATCTTAACACTACAGCATACAATGACATTCTAGACGATTCTGTGCTTCCAACTTTGAGGCAACAGTATGGGGAAGGCCCTTTGCTGTTTCAGCATGACAATGCCCCCGTGCACAAAGCGAGGTCCATACAGAAATGGTTTGTCGAGATTGGTGTGGAAGAACTTGACTAGCCTGCACAGAGCCCTGACCTCAACCCCATAGAACACCTTTGGGATGAATTGGAACGCCGACTGCGAGCCAGGCCTAATCGCCCAACATCTGTGCCCGACCTCACTTATGCTCTTGTGGCTGAATGGAAGCAAGTCCCCGCGGCAATGTTCCAACATCTAGTGGAAAGCCTTCCCAGAAGAGTGGAGGCTGTTATAGCAGAAAAGGGAGGGGGGACCAACTCCATATTAATGCCCAGGATTTTTTGAATGAGATGTTCGACAAGCAGGTGTCCACATACTTTTGGTCATGTAGTGTATACGATATTCTATTTATACTGGGGACGTGAAAGGGAAGGACTGTGCGGCTGAATAAATACTGGGGCAGGCAATGTGGCATGCATGATGTCATTGGTAATAAACTGTATTATTTTGTTGTTTCCTTGTGTTGAACTGTTAAGTTTGTCATCAAGCTTTGGACCGTGACACTACTTTCAGTGAGATTAGTCTTAACATGTTGAACATTTTCATTAGTTTGTTGTAGACACAACACCATGACTTGCATCCCAAACGGCACCTTATTTTTATAGTGCGCTACTTTTGACCAGAGCCTATGGGCCCTGCTCAGATGTAGTGCACTATATAGGGAATAGGGTCCCGTTTGGGATGCAAACCCATTCCTGATTGGGGCTGAAGACAAGTGGCTTTAACTTCATCTAACAGCAAAGTTTACGTTTAACTGTTCTGGAGAGAGAGATGAGAGAGTAGAGGGAGGCAAAGAAAAACAGAGTGAGAGGAGAGAGGGGAAAGATGGTGAGACAATGGGAAGGGGGGGGGGGGGGGGGGGGGAAAGCTTCAGGAGAAAAATGGAGGGGAACCTGTCAAAGCACAGAGTAACTTTGGTGAGTTTGAATCCCATGGTTTACCTGGTCCAGAGACAGTCCTATCTTTCTGCAGAGAGAGAGAGAAACAGACCCATGGTTTACCTGGGTCGTATTCATTAGCGCACATCGTAGCAAAGTGTTTTGCAACGGAAAACTAAAACAAGCGTTTCTTATTTCAGGTTGTCCCTCCCCATTTAGGCCCGGTTGCTTCCTAGTGAATACAACCCTGTTGTTTTGGATCAGTGTGCAGTACACTCTCAAATGACACGACCTCTAAGTCCTGCTAGGTGGTTCAATACGCCCAGACAGAAATGGACCAGACTGCGTCTTTGAATGAACAGTGTAACCAACAGACTGTCCCAACCAACAGGGCTGTTTAGGCTCAGGCATACTTACTTAGAATCAAGTGTTGAATACAATAACAAAAAAATGACATACAAAGAATGAGATGAAATGTATTTAGGCACTTCCCAGATCTTAGTTTATTTTATGGTCAAAGTAAAGAATACATATTATAGGTCCCTTTATTATAAAGACCACAGCTAGAGACATCCCCTAGCTAGTATCTCCTCCTATACTCACAACAGACATCCCCTAGCTAGCATCCCCTAGCTAGCATCCCCTAGCTAGCATCCCCTAGCTAGCATCCCCTAGCTAGCATATCCTCCTATACTCACAACAGACATCCCCTAGCTAGCATCCCCTAGCTAGCATCCCCTAGCTAGCATCCCCTAGCTAGCATCCCCTAGCTAGCATCCCCTAGCTAGCATATCCTCCTATACTCACAACAGACATCCCCTAGCTAGCATCCCCTAGCTAGCATATCCTCCTATACTCACAACAGACATCCCCTAGCTAGCATCTCCTAGCTAGCATCCCCTAGCTAGCATCTCCTAGCTAGCATCCCCTAGCTAGCATCCCCTAGCTAGCATCTCCTAGCTAGCATCTCCTAGCGACTCAGAACTACTCAGTAGTCAGACTACACAGGGTGTGTCCCCTAATGACACCCTATTCCCTATATAGTGCTCTACTTTAGACCAGAGAATGGCACCCTATTCCCTATATAGTGCTCTACTTTAGACCAGAGAATGGCACCCTATTCCCTATATAGTGCTCTACTTTAGACCAGAGAATGGCACCCTATTCCCTATATAGTGCTCTACTTTTGACCACAGCCCATATGGTTAGGGTCCAGGTTAGGGCCCTGCTCAAAAGTAGTGCACTATATAGGGAATATGGTGCCACTTGGGACAAACCCTCAGAATGTTGTAAAGACTAACTTCTGACACCTGTAAACCTCAATATCATTATGACACGTCCCCGAATCACCATACATTGATTGATTGATTGATTGATTGATTGATTAACCCCACGTGTCTGCTACATACAATAATTACCATGTGAAGGTAGCGAGCTACTGTAAAGCAATGCCAATATCAATATAACATGTATTGGAAACAAAACAGAAAGAGCCCAAGAAATAAAAAAAACTATGTAGTGACAAAAAGTTATTCCAGAACAAATCATGAGCGTTCTGATCAAATAGCATGAAATCAAGAGCAGGATATGGTGATTGGGCAAAGGCTTTCTTAATGATGGCCGTTTGAACAAGACATCACACAACAGGAACAGGAAGCAGGATGTTTTTGCTGTCTTACCAAGTCCTGTGGCCTGACAGTGACCATATGAGTTCAGAACAGGAAGCAGGATGTTTGTGCTGTCTTAGTGACCCATACGAGTTCAGAACAGGAAGCAGGATGTTTGTACTGTCTTAGTGACCATACGAGTTCAGAACAGGAAGCAGGATGTTTGTACTGTCTTAGTGACCATACGAGTTCAGAACAGGAAGCAGGATGTTTGTGCTGTCTTACCAAGTCCTGTGGCCTGACAGTGACCATATGAGTTTAGAACAGGAAGCAGGCTAAAATCCCTGCCCTCTAAAAGAAGCACATTGTAATGGAGGCAAGCTGCATTCCCAGTTCAAACTAAGCTAACCAAGCTACTCAGACAGGGGTTGAATACATACATACAGTATCTCTATAACTATACACAAAAACAAATAAAGTGGAATGTGGTCCATCCATCCTTTTGATTGTTTTATTCATTTCAGACCTTGGTGTGCACAGACACAACTGACGACAAATTGATTATGAGAAAGTTACAAAAATAAACTGATTGACTTCAAGAAACATGAGTCAGGTGAACGTTTTAGAAGATGGTCCTTTTCATTCGCACAGAGGGACATCCGTACTGGGTCATTGGAGCTGTTTCTTTGTTACTTAGTAAGGTAGAATTCAGACGCAGCCCTGGTCTCACACATATGCCCGGGAACCCAAACACCTACATGAGAGAAGCTTTCATTCATAAATCATACGAGTAAATCAGAAACAGGAAACTTCAGACCATGTCGTCATGATGTCGTCGTGTTGGGAGAGGAAATCAAATCCAAGACTTGTCTGGAGAATAATTATCTAGTATTCATATACTGTTACTATGTTTCACGTACATGGAATCAGCATGTACATCACTGAAGAACAGTGGATTAATATACGTCAAAGTGAGTTAGAGCTAGATACCTGGAGAGAATACATAACATACTTTGAAAGGAAAACGTTTGTCCAGGGAGGAAGAGAGAAGGAGGATGATTGAATCTTTATATTTCAGTCAGTCCAGTTTTCAAAAACGTACGTCGCTTGATCAGAGGGGAGTTTTTAGTTTTTTGTAAAAGTGAGGGATTAAATGGCATGTCTGGACCGGTCCATTCTGTTCAGAAAGTCTGGACCGGTCCATTCTGTTCAGAAAGCTGTGGGACAGGTCTGGACCGGTCCATTCGGTTCAGAAAGCTGTGGGACAGGTCTGGACCGGTCCATTCGGTTCAGAAAGTCTGGGACAGGTCTGGACCGGTCCATTCTGTTCAGAAAGCAGTGGGACAGGTCTGGACCGGTCCATTCGGTTCAGAAAGCTGTGGGACAGGTCTGGACCGGTCCATTCTGTTCAGAAAGTCTGGGACAGGTCTGGAGCGGTCCATTCTGTTCAGAAAGCTGTGGGACAGGTCTGGACCGGTCCATTCTGTTCAGAAAGTCTGGGACAGGTCTGGACCGGTCCATTCTGTTCAGAAAGCTGTGGGACAGGTCTGGACCGGTCCATTCTGTTCAGAAAGCTGTGGGACAGGTCTGGACCAGTCCATTCTGTTCAGAAAGCTGTGGGACAGGTCTGGACCAGTCCATTCTGTTCAGAAAGCTTTGGGACGGGTCTGGACCAGTCCATTCTGTTCAGAAAGCTGTGGGACAGGTCTGGACCAGTCCATTCTGTTCAGAAAGTCTGGGACAGGTCTGGACCAGACCATTCTGTTCAGAAAGCTGTGGGACAGGTCTGGACCAGTCCATTCTGTTCAGAACGTCGTGGGACAGGTCTGGACCGGACCATTCTGTTCAGAAAGTCTGGGACAGGTCTGGAGCGGTCCATTCTGTTCAGAAAGCTGTGGGACAGGTCTGGAGCAGTCCATTCTGTTCAGAAAGTCTGGAGCGGTCCATTCTGTTCAGAAAGTCTGGGACAGGTCTGGAGCGGTCCATTCTGTTCAGAAAGTATGGGACAGGTCTGGAGCAGTCCATTCTGTTCAGAAATTCTGGGACAGGTCTGGAGCAGTCCTTTCTGTTCAGAAATTCTGGGACAGGTCTGGAGCAGTCCTTTCTGTTCAGAAAGGCGGAGGTGAACTCAAGTCAGTCAAGTCACTACCAGACTGAGGACCAGCCCTCTCCTCTCTGTCCCACCCCAAACTGTCCTGTCGTCTCCCTCTCCCTTCACACCATAACCACCACCATCGTCATTACCCACCCAACCCTCTGGTGTCTGAAGGTGGTAGGTCAGGTCACTTGGTGAAGGCAGCCACCACCGCCCACAACAACTCATTGGCGTTGGTCTTCATGCTCTCCCCCTCTGGCTCCAGGTCCAGTAGCTGCCGTACTCTCTTCATGGCCAGGTCATACTGGTCGTCCAGCAGGGGGGCGAAGGCATTCTCCAGGACATCAGACGAGTGGGCCAGGAAGATGAGGGCGAGCAGCCGTTTGTCCATGCGGTGCGGGTCGTTGACCCATTTCTCCAACACGGCCTCCTGAATCCTCTTGATGAGGCGCTGTTTGATGTTGTTGTTGGTGAGAGGGTGCGTGGTCATGTCGAAGAGGAGGAAGTTCTGTTTCTCCGTGGTCAGCACGCCCTTTTCCACCAGGTTCTTGGCCAGGCGCTCCCTCACGTTCCTCAGCTGATAGTGCAGCTTCAGAGGGTTCCACGTCTCGCCTGCAGGGGGGGGGAGAGAAGAGTGGTGTTAAGACCTATTGGGGAGGGGAGGGAGGGAGGAGGGAGAGAGAGAGAGGGGGGAGGGAGGGAGGGAGGGAGAGAGGGAGAGAGGGGAGGGAGGGGTGATATTTGGTATTTGTTTCATTAGTCCATTGTCTACATTTACATTTCAGTCATTCAGTCCCAAAATGTTTTGCTTGTCAGCACTCAAGTTTTCAAGATATGTAACTTTCAAAACACAGAAATCATCCCCGTATGGATTATTTTGTAAACCTACAGGGGGAGAAGAGTGGTGTTAAGACCTATAGGGGGAGAAGAGTGGTGTTAAGACCTATAGGGGGAGAAGAGTGGTGTTAAGACCTACAGGGGGGAGAGAAGAGAGGTGTTAAGACCTATAGGGGAGAGAAGAGTGGGGTTAAGACCTATAGAGGAGAGAAGAGAGGTGTTAAGACCTATAGGGGGAGAAGAGTGGGGTTAAGACCTACAGGGGGAGAAGAGTGGTGTTAAGACCTATAGGGAGAGAAGAGAGGTGTTAAGACCTATAGGGGGAGAAGAGTGGTGTTAAGACCTATAGGGGGAGAAGAGTGGGGTTAAGACCTATAGGGGAGAGAAGAGAGGTGTTAAGACCTATAGGGGGAGAAGAGTGGGGTTAAGACCTACAGGGGAGAAGAGTGGTGTTAAGACCTATAGGGAGAGAAGAGAGGTGTTAAGACCTATAGGGAGAGAGAGGTGTTAAGACCTATAGGGGAAGAGTGGGGTTAAGACCTATAGGGGGAGAAGAGTGGGGTTAAGACCTATAGGGGAGAGAAGAGAGGTGTTAAGACCTATAGGGGGAGAAGAGTGGGGTTAAGACCTATAGGGGAGAGAAGAGAGGTGTTAAGACCTATAGGGGGAGAAGAGTGGGGTTAAGACCTATAGGGGGAGAAGAGTGGTGTTAAGACCTATAGGGGGGAGAGAAGAGTGGTGTTAAGACCTACAGGGGGAGAAGAGTGGTGTTAAGACCTATAGGGGGAGAAGAGTGGTGTTAAGACCTACAGGGGGAGAGAAGAGAGGTGTTAAGACCTATAGGGGGAGAAGAGTGGGGTTAAGACCTATAGGGGAGAGAAGAGAGGTGTTAAGACCTATAGGGGGAGAAGAGTGGGGGTTAAGACCTATAGGGGAGAGAAGAGAGGTGTTAAGACCTATAGGGGGGAGAAGAGTGGGGTTAAGACCTATAGGGGGAGAAGAGTGGGGTTAAGACCTATAGGGGAGAGAAGAGTGGTGTTAAGACCTATAGGGGGGAGAGAAGAGTGGGGTTAAGACCTATAGGGGGAGAAGAGAGGTGTTAAGACCTATAGGGGGAGAAGAGTGGTGTTAAGACCTATAGGGGGAGAAGAGAGGTGTTAAGACCTACAGGGGGAGAAGAGTGGTGTTAAGACCTATAGGGGGAGAAGAGTGGTGTTAAGACTTACAGGGGGGGAGAGAAGAGAGGTGTTAAGACCTATAGGGGGAGAAGAGTGGGGTTAAGACCTATAGGGGGAGAAGAGTGGTGTTAAGACCTATAGGGGGGAGAAGAGTGGGGTTAAGACCTATAGGGGGAGAAGAGTGGGGTTAAGACCTATAGGGGGGAGAAGAGTGGTGTTAAGACCTATAGGGGGAGAAGAGTGGTGTTAAGACCTACAGGGGGAGAAGAGTGGTGTTAAGACCTATAGGGGGGAGAGAAGAGAGGTGTTAAGACCTACAGGGGGGAGAGAATAGAGGTGTTAAGACCTATAGGGGGGAGAGAAGAGAGGTGTTAAGACCTATAGGGGGGAGAGAAGAGAGGTGTTCGATGTGACGTACAGTTGAAGTCGGAAGTTTACATACACCTTAGCCAAATACATTTAAACTCAGTTTTTCACAATTCCTGACATTTAATCCTAGTAAAAATGCCCTGTCTTAGGTCAGTTAGGATCACCACTTTATTTTAAGAATGTGAAATGTCAGAATAATAGTAGAGAGAATGATTTATTTCAGCTTTTATTTATTCCCAGTGGGTCAGAAGTTTACATACAGTGGGGAAAAAAAGTATTTAGTCAGCCACCAATTGTGCAAGTTCTCCCACTTAAAAAGATGAGAGAGGCCTGTAATTTTCATCATAGGTACATGTCAACTATGACAGACAAATTGAGGAAAAAAAATCCAGAAAATCACATTGTAGGATTTTTAATGAATTTATTTGCAAATAATGGTGGAAAATAAGTATTTGGTCACCTACAAACAAGCAAGATTTCTGGCTCTCACAGACCTGTAACTTCTTTTTTAAGAGGCTCCTCTGTCCTCCAATCGTTACCTGTATTAATGGCACCTGTTTGAACTTGTTATCAGTATAAAATACACCTGTCCACAACCTCAAACAGTCACACTCCAAACTCCACTATGGCCAAGACGAAAGAGCTGTCAAAGGACAACAGAAACTAAATTGTAGACCTGCACCAGGCTGGGAAGACTGAATCTGCAATAGGTAAGCAGCTTGGTTTGAAGAAATCAACTGTGGGAGAAATTATTAGGAAATGGAAGACATACAAGACCACTGATAATCTCCCTCGATCTGGGGCTCCACGCAAGATCTCACCCCGTGGGGTCAAAATTATCACAAGAATGGTGAGCAAAAATCCCAGAACCACACGGGGGGACCTAGTGAATGACCTGCAGAGAGCTGGGACCAAAGTAACAAAGCCTACCATCAGTAACACACTACGCCGCCAGGGACTCAAATCATGCAGTGCCAGACGTGTTCCCCTGCTTAAGCCAGTACATGTCCAGGCCCGTCTGAAGTTTGCTAGAGTGCATTTGGATGATCCAAAAGAGGATTGGGAGAATGTCATATGGTCAGATGAAACCAAAATATAACTTTTTGGTAAAAACTCAACTCGTCGTGTTTGGAGGACAAAGAATGCTGAGTTGCATCCAAAGAACACCATACCTACTGTGAAGCATGGGGGTGGAAACATCATGCTTTGGGACTGTTTTTCTGCAAAGGGACCAGGACGACTGATCCGTGTAAAGGAAAGAATGAATGGGGCCATGTATCGTGAGATTTAGAGTGAAAACCTCCTTCCATCAGCAAGGGCATTGAAGATGAAATGTGGCTGGGTCTTTCAGCATGACAATGATCCCAAACACACCGCCCGGGCAACGAAGGAGTGGCTTCGTAAGAAGCATTTCAAGGTCCTGGAGTGGCCTAGCCAGTCTCCAGATCTCAACCCCATAGAAAATCATTGGAGGGAGTTGAAAGTCCGTGTTGCCCAGCGACAGCCCCAAAACATCACTGCTCTAGAGGAGATCTGCATGGAGGAATGGGCCATAATACCAGCAACAGTGTGTGAAAACCTTGTGAAGACTTACAGAAAACGTTTGACCTGTGTCATTGCCAACAAAGGGTATATAACAAAGTATTGAGAAACTTTCGTTATTGACCAAATACTTATTTTCCACCATAATTTGCAAATAAATTCATAAAAAATCCTACAATGTGATTTTCTGGATTTTTTTTCTCATTTTGTCTGTCATAGTTGACGTGTACCTATGATGAAAATTACAGGCCTCTCTCATCTTTTTAAGTGGGAGAACTTGCAGAATTGGTGGCTGACTAAATACTTTTTTTCCCCACTGTACACTCAATTAGTATTTGGTAGCATTGCCTTTAAATTGTTAAACTTGGGTCAAACGTTTCGGGTAGCCTTCCACAAGCTTCCCACAATAAAGTTGGGTGAATTTTGGCCCATTCCTCCTGACAGAGCTGGTGTAACTGAGTCAGGTTTGTAGGCCTCCTTGCTCGCACATGACTTTTCAGTTCTGCCCACAAATGTTCTATAGGATTGAGGTCAGGGCTTTGTGATGGCCACTCCAATACCTTGACTTTGTTGTCCTTAAGCCATTTTGCCACAACTTTGGAAGTATGCTTGGGGTCATTGTCCATTTGGAAGACCCATTTGCGACCAAGCTTTAACTTCCTGACTGATGTCTTGAGATGTTGCTTCAATATATCCACATAATTTTCCTTCCTCATGATGCCAATCTATTTTGTGAAGTGCACCAGTCCCTCCCGCAGCAAAGCACCCCCACAGCATGATGCTGCCACCCCCGTGCTTCACGGTTGGAATGGTGTTCTTCAGCTTGCAAGCATTCCCCTTTTTCCTCCGAACATAACGATGGTCATTATGGCCAAACAGTTCTATTTTTGTTTCATCAGACCAGAGGACATTTCTCCAAAAAGTACAATCTTTGTCCCCATGTGCAGTTGCAAACCGTAGTCTGGCTTTTTTATGGCGGTTTTGGAGCAGTGGCTTCTTCCTTGCTGAGTGGCCTTTCAGGTTATGTCGTTATTGGACTCGTTTTACTGTGGATATAGATACTTTTGTACCCGTTTCCTCCAGCATCTTTACAAGGTCCTTTGCTGTTGTTCTGGGATTGATTTGCACTTTACAGAACGCGTCTCCTTCCTGAGCGGTATGACGGCTGCATGGTCCCATGGTGTTTATACTTGCGTACTATTGTTTGTACAGATGAACGTGGTATCTTCAGGCATTTGGAAATTGCTCCCAAGGATGAACCAGACTTGTGGAGGTCTACAATTTGTGGAAGTCTTGGCTGATTTATTTTGATTTTCCCATGATGTCAAGCAAAGCGGCACTGAGTTTGAAGGTAGGCCTTGAAATACATCAACATGTACACCTCCAATTACATTTACATTTACATTTTAGTCATTTAGCAGACGCTCTTATCCAGAGCGACTTACAGGAGCAATTAGGGTTAAGTGCCTTGCTCAAGGGCACATTAACGTCATTTAGCAGACGCTCTTAGCCAGAGCGACTCACAAATTGGTGCGTTCACCCTATAGCCAGTGGGATAACCACTTTACAATTTGGGGGGGGGGGGTTAGAAGGATTGCTTTATCCTATCCCAGGTATTCCTCAAAGAGGTGGGGTTTCAAATGTCTCCGGAAGGTGGTGAGTGACTCCGCTGTCCTGGCGTCGTGAGGGAGCTTGTTCCACCATTGGGGTGCCAGAGCAGCGAACAGTTTTGACTGGGCTGAGCGGGAGCTATGCTTCCGCAGAGGAAGGGGAGCCAGCAGGCCAGAGGTGGATGAACGCAATGCCCTCGTTTGGGTGTAGGGACTGATCAGAGCCTGAAGGTACAGAGGTGCCGTTCCCCTCACTGCTCCATAGGCAAGCACCATGGTCTTGTAGCGGATGCGAGCTTCAACTGGAAGCCAGTGGAGTGTGCGGAGGAGGGGGGTGACGTGAGAGAACTTGGGAAGGTTGAACACCAGACGGGCTGATGATGTCAATTAGCCTATCAGAAGCTTCTAAAGCCATTACATCATTTTCTGGAATTTTCCAAGCTGTTTAAAGGCACAGTCAACTTAGTGGATGTAAACTTCTGACCCACTGGAATTGTGATACAGTGAATTATAAGTGAAATAATCTGTCTGTAAACAATTGTTGGAAAAATTACTTGTGTCATGCACAAAGTAGATGTCCTAACCGACTTGCCAAAACGATAGTTTGTTAACAAGACATTTGTGGAGTGGTTGAAAAACAAGTTTTAATGACTCCAACCTAAGTGTATGTAAACTTCCGATTTCAACTGTATGTCCATAACTCAATAACAGCCAAATAAAAAAGGCCTGGGGGGAAGAGAGAGCGAGAGAGAGAGCAAGTAGTTATTCCATTGTATTGCCTTTTGTTTGTCTTAACTCATTTGTTGACTTGTTTTTATTGTAAAGTGTCTCGCCATTATAAACACTTGGAAAGGCTAAGAGCTAGGTGTGCCTAACAAGTGAAAACATTTCTAATCAATCAAAACGGAGAACTTGAAGTTCTAGGGCAGCTTGTCTCAGATTATGGTTACGACGGCTACAGCCGACTGCCACACAATCTGGGCTTTGAATGTTTGCTATGACTACGAGTCAGGTCGTTCTCAGAGGAATTCTAAACAACAGAACCACAGCCAAAACATCAGATGTGCAAGTTGTGCAATCACACAACTAAAAATGGATAAGAGCGTCTGGATAAGAGCGTCTGCTAAATGATGTAAATGTAAAAAAGGTAGCCATAAACATTAGTTTAAATCTAGCTTCAGACATAAAACAGACCTGCCAGAGAGACTATAAAAACCGAATAAAGCCTACTATCACATTTACATTTTACATTTTAGTCATTTAGCAGATGCTCTTATCCAGAGCGATTTACAGTTAGTGAGTGCATACATTTTTCATACTGCCCCCCCCCCCCGTGGGAAACGAACCCACTACCCTGGCGTTGCAAGCGCCATGCTCTACCAACTGAGCTACAGGGGACCTATCACAGATGGTAACTAGGCCGTTGTAGTACTCCGATCCAGGACTCGGGCTTTGGGACCACCAGGGACTGGTTTATATGCCCTTTGGCCTCAGAGATGCCAGCCAATAGAGTGCCACTTCCTCTTCCTCCTGAGCTCTCACGCAACAAAGCCTGTCCGTCTGGGTTAATTACTTAAATCAACACAATGTAAAATATACTGTGTCCTGTGTCATCTTTACAGTAAGCGTACTTGGGAGTATGAACGTACTTGGGAGTATGATCGTACTTGATCGGTGGCATGATAAGAGAAGATGTAAATAATGATTAATTATTACCAAAAATAGAAAAAAACATGTATATATTACAGAGACCACTCTGTTAGTAGCTAACCTGTCTGTTTGGTGGTTAGCCTGGCTGAGACCACTCTGTCAGTAGCTAACCTGTCTGTTTGGTGGTTAGCCTGGCTGAGACCACTGTCAGTAGCTAACCTGTCTGTTTGGTGGTTAGCCTGGCTGAGACCACTCTGTTAGTAGCTAACCTGTCTGTTTGGTGGTTAGCCTGGCTGAGACCACTCTGTTAGTAGCTAACCTGTCTGTTCGGTGGTTAGCCTGGCTGAGACCACTCTGTTAGTAGCTAACCTGTCTGTTTGGTGGTTAGCCTGGCTGAGACCACTCTGTCAGTAGCTAACCTGTCTGTTCGGTGGTTAGCCTGGCTGAGACCACTCTGTTAGTAGCTAACCTGTCTGTTTGGTGGTTAGCCTGGCTGAGACCACTCTGTTAGTAGCTAACCTGTCTGTTCGGTGGTTAGCCTGGCTGAGACCACTCTGTTAGTAGCTAACCTGTCTGTTCGGTGGTTAGCCTGGCTGAGACCACTCTGTTAGTAGCTAACCTGTCTGTTCGGTGGTTAGCCTGGCTGAGACCACTCTGTTAGTAGCTAACCTGTCTGTTCGGTGGTTAGCCTGGCTGAGACCACTCTGTTAGTAGCTAACCTGTCTGTTCGGTGGTTAGCCTGGCTGAGACCACTCTGTTAGTAGCTAACCTGTCTGTTCGGTGGTTAGCCTGGCTGAGACCACTCTGTTAGTAGCTAACCTGTCTGTTTGGTGGTTAGCCTGGCTGAGACCACTCTGTTAGTAGCTAACCTGTCTGTTTGGTGGTTAGCCTGGCTGAGACCACTCTGTTAGTAGCTAACCTGTCTGTTTGGTGGTTAGCCTGGCTGAGACCACTCTGTTAGTAGCTAACCTGTCTGTTTGGTGGTTAGCCTGGCTGAGACCACTCTGTTAGTAGCTAACCTGTCTGTTTGGTGGTTAGCCTGGCTGAGACCACTCTGTTAGTAGCTAACCTGTCTGTTTGGTGGTTAGCCTGGCTGAGACCACTCTGTTAGTAGCTAACCTGTCTGTTTGGTGGTTAGCCTGGCTGAGACCACTCTGTTAGGTTAGCCTGGCTGAGACCACTCTGTTAGTAGCTAACCTGTCTGTTTGGTGGTTAGCCTGGCTGAGACCACTGTTAGTAGCTAACCTGTCTGTTCGGTGGTTAGCCTGGCTGAGACCACTCTGTTAGTAGCTAACCTGTCTGTTTGGTGGTTAACCTGGCTGAGACCACTCTGTTAGTAGCTAACCTGTCTGTTTGGTGGTTAGCCTGGCTGAGACCACTCTGTTAGTAGTAAACCTGTCTGTTCGGTGGTTAGCCTGGCTGAGACCACTCTGTCTGTTAAAGTGTGGCTCTAACGCACTCACCGCTGAGCAGCTCAATCCAGCTCTGCACCGTCTCTGGCGGCTGGGTCTCCTTTACGTGTTTGAGAGCCTCGTCCAACAGCACGTCCCCCGTCGGAGCATCGGACTTACAGATCACCTGGAGACACAACAGAACCACACAGTCAGAATCAGAACCCAACTAGGCTATAGGCTACATACAAACACGGTCAGAATCAGAACACAACCATACTGCCATTCAATGGCTTAAAAGATCACCTTCATTTGTCTGAAATGTTCCATTGGAAATGTGTCTTCTGCTCTGCTCTCAACCTCCCAGCCCAACACAACACACACACATGCTGGAGAGGAGCACAGGGTCAGCCCCAGTGCAACAACCCTGGAGCTAATTTTGGGGTTAAGTGCCTTGCTCGAGGCCACAACTGTATCCTTACCTGGAGAGAGAGCGAGCCCTCTACACGGAGTGAACTGGCTTCATTTTGTTTGGGGAGAAAATTCGGAATAATTCAAGTACTGGATGCAATGCAGTGGTCTATCTTACTGTAGGCTATTTGAAATATGAAACAACTGAACTAAGCCTATACGAGTTAGTTTCAGATCTCCATTCCTGACCTCATCCATCAGGTCTGACGACTTGCCTGCCATTCATTCAAAATGCCTTGTCACTTCAGTTAACATGAATGTGCTTATTTGTCTAGCTAATCTGCTAGCTATTTGTTTTCCACTCCAGTGTCACAAAAGCTGTCTATTCTGTTAAAAGCTATCTATGCCACCCAAAAAGCTAACTTTGTGCAACAGGAAAATAAATCTGACTCAATGCGAGTGCTGTAACATCTCTAGCTAGCTAGCCAGTAGCTAACTAGCTAAGTCTCAACTCTAACACGCTAAGTCTCAACTCTAACACGCTAACGTTAGCTTGCTAACTTGAATATCTAATTCTGTGAGACACAATAATAGCTACATCCATGTATTGTTGGTAAGCTGCTCTCTGTGCCAACAACCATTATATAGCTATAGCTTTATAGCCCTGCAATGGACTTAGCTAGCTAGCTAACTAAAGTAGAGGACTTGGCTACATTATGTTCTATTATTAGGCAAGCTAGCTAGCTAGCTAGCTAGACATCTATCAAGATGCTGTGGTGAATTATTATTAATGAACTGTAGAGTTTAATGGACTATGAGGAAGAACTGGGTTAATCAAGAGCATAAAGTTAGCATTCTTTGTTACTGGGCCAGGAATTGTATTGGGTCATTTAATTTCACTGTGTGGGTGAGTAGAGAGGGAACTTGCCCTAGAGTCAGATTGCTTGCTCTTACTTAGATCCATGGTTGTCTTATCTGATGAGACACTGAAACTAGCTTGTGGCCTATTGTGTCTCTCTTCAAAACACAGTGAAAGGAGCGGCACCAGGGATGAATGGAGTTTGGGCTAGACCTTTGTCTCCTTGGTATCTTCTTGACTGATTACAGCATGAGGGGGGTGAGGTTTGTGTAATTTAGGGCCTTGTCATGTTTAAACTAAAACATGAGTGTGTGTGCAAGACAGGGGAGCGAGTGATTGGTTGAAGTAATAGTTCAGCCGTCCTCAGGGACAAAGGAAGTGGGGCGTGGAGTGATAAAGAGCGGGAAACTGAAGAGGGAGGGATTTAGAGCTAGAAGAGTTGGGGATGATGGTATATAATGTGAGGTGAGGAAGGGAGAACGGGGTGCCACTCTGCAGACTGGTATCGGCTTTGTTGAAAACTTTAATAAAGTCATTACTTGATGCAACAAAAACTCTGTAAGACCTTATTTGTAATGAAGTATAGTGGTTGTTTTCCACAACAATGCCAGCCCATAATCCAAAAAAACCTAATATGTCTATTACTACTAGGTGAAAGTGGCATGCGTATCTGTCCATTATCGTTTTTATAATATTGATGAGGACGAGTATTTTAGAGGACGATTTGGCTTTAGACAATTCATTAGCCTAGCCATGGGCGTTCATGCACCGTCTGCTGCCTAGGCTAACAATTCATATTCATCTTGGGGTCTGTGGGTTATAGTCAAAGTGAAATGTGTCCCATCAACATTGTGCTGATACATTTCAACAAATGCCTGTGCAAGGGGAGTAATGTGTTGTCCTATTTTCCAGACAATAATGCTCGACGGCAGACATTTTTCCTTGAGTGGACTACATGGGGAGCCAGCTAGTGTCGTCATGGCAGTCTATCAGTGGACTACATGGGGAGCCAGCTAGTGTCGCCATGGCAGTCTATCCCTCTCTAGATGGACAATATGCTGGATAAAAGACGTGGATGTCTCCAAAGAGGAATTTAATACAACTTTATAATCCTACTCCCTTTTCCAACACCAACAAATACACAGAAGTTGACACAGGGTCAGCAACAGTGCAGAGCCCCTGGATGGAGAGCAATTGTGGGGGGGGGGGGGGGTTAGGTGCCTTGCTCAAGGGCACAATGACAGGAGATGGTACATGGGATCAATGACCAGTCTGCCTCTCAACCTCTGATTCCAGGTACTGTGGACCCAAAGGGTCCTAACGCTACACTGTGATTGAAATGATCAACGTATCAAGCTTTGATCATTTGAATCAGATGTGTAGTGCTAAGGCAAAAACAAAAACGTGTACCGCTTTGTGTCCCTAGGACCAGGAAAGTACGGATATTATCAACAAACTATCTGTTGATAATAGTGCTGAACGATTAGTGCTTTCTGAGGTCGGTTCAGTTTCGGGTCTATTATTTAAAAAATAATCATGATTTATACTTTTTTTTTTTTTTTTTTTACATTTAAATGCACTGTGGGTTGAATGCTGCAACACAGAACAAAAAGTATTAAAAAGTCCCTTGATGGTAGTGACTGTCCATTACTGCTTATCACTTATTAACCATCGGTTATTCACATTACTTTACTTTGAATAAAATATTTCAGTTGTTGTGTATATTACATTTGTTGACTTTATTATTTCATTCATTCAGGTTATTCCGTGTTTTTGTCCACCCACCTGTACCTTTGTAATACAACCGTAGAGAGGGAGATTTGAAACGGTCTTCAGATAATTGAACTGGTCTTCCTAAAGCCTAATTAACAAGAACAGCAGTACAGTAAAATGTGAATCAGCTTTCAGATAATTCACAGAAAGTTGTGTCTGTCTGTTATGGTCTTTGTGCATGACATCTTATACACAGGAGGGTGTGGGTGCAGGTTTATGTTCTAACCAAGCAATAACACACACACACGATTCAACTAATCATGTCTTGATTGACGTCTATGATTAGTTGAATCAGGTGTGTACTGGTTGGCAAGAACAGAAGTCCACACTGATCTCTGTGGATGTGATTGGACACCCCCCTGTTATGAGTGCTACTTTCATGATGAATAGCAATGATCAGTTCATTTTAATATCTTTAGGGGAGATTCATATAATATAATTGTGCATAAGAAATGTCAGTTTGTAAGTTTTGAACATTTGAAAATGAATTCAAAATTGATTATTTAAAAAGAGGTGGGCTTATTTGGAACTCCTATGGGTTTAAAGGGTACATTTTATCAAATATGTTTTTGTCTTATTAAAAACGGTTGTAAGTAATGTCATAAAACTTATGTTAAAAATGTCTAAACTAAGATTCTGGTGAGCTTAAATAAGTACATTTACAGCCTGAATTTAATTTAAAATGTCAAAGTGGAATTATGTTTTTAGAAATTTTAATTTTTTATAAGTATTCAACCCTTTTGTTATGGCTAAATAAGTTCAGGAGTTCCATGGACTCACTCTGTGTGCTATAATAGTGTTTAACATGATTTTTGAATGACTACCCCATCTCTGTACCGCACACAGATATGGTGGTAGATAAAAATAAATTTAAAAAAAGCAGACTTTGAATATCACGGAGCATGGTGAACTTATTAATTACACTTTGGGTGGTGTATCAATACACGCAGTCACTACCAATACACGCAGTGTCCTTCCTAACTCAGAGAGGAAGGAAACCGCTCAGGGATTTCACCATGAGGCCAATGATGATTTTAAAAACAGAGTTTAATGGCTGTGCTAGGAGATAACTGAGGATGAATCAACAACATTGCAGTTACTCCACAATACTAACGTAATTTACATAAATGACTAAGTAAAAAGGATGGATGCCTGTACAGAATAAAAATTATACTGGCCAAAAATGTGGCAAAGAAATTAACTTTTTGTCCTGAATACAAAGTATTATGTTTGGGGCAAATCCAACACAACACATCAATGAGTACCACTCAATAACTTCAAGCATGGTGGTGGCTGCATCATGTTATGGGTATGCTTGTCATCGGCAAGGACTAGGGAGTTTTCTTAGGATAAAAAGAAAAGGAATATAGCTAAGCACAGGCAAAATCTTAGAGGAAAACCTGGTTCAGTCTGTTTTCCAACATACACTGGGAGACAAATTCACCTTTCAGCAGGACAATAACCTAAAACAGGCCAAATCTACACTGGAGTTGCTTACCAAGACGATACTGAATGTTCCTGAAAGGCCTAGTTACAGTTTTGACTTAAAATTAAGCTTGAAAATCTATGGCAAGACATGAAAAGAGATAGCAATGATCAACAACCAACTTGACAGCGTTTGAAGACATTTTTTTAAAAAGAATAATGTGAAAATATTGTACAATCCAGGTGTGCAAAGCTCTTAGAGACTTACCCAGAAAGACTCACAGCTGTAATCACTGCCAAAGGAGATTCTAACATGTACTGACTCAGGGGGTTGAATACTTATCGAAACAAAATATATTCCATAATCTTTCTAAAAGAAACGTTTTAATCGTATGCTAACTTTCCATGCTAGCTTACAGCTGAATTCACTACTGATAATATGCAAAACCATAACGTAAAATCTGCTGATTTCAAAGCTGATTGTTACCAAAAACGTTATTAATTCACTTTGTCTCCCTCACCATCTCACGTGGTGTGACTTCAGCATTGGCGTGACTTCAACATCACAGTTTTGTGTAGTCGTGCTGCTGTGCTGTTTGTTGCGACTTGGCTACCTGCCAAACTTTTCGATTTAAAAAAAAAACTTTTAATAACTGTTTAAATCAAAACTCTGCATTTAACACATTTACCAACGTCTTAGTTTTTTTTCCCCCTTGCTCAACTTTTTTGATTCAACTTTTTTCACCCTGTACGCTTTAGTACCTGGATACCAACAACAGAGCTAGGCTACAAAGAGCTCAACTCGTACAACGCTCTCTACAGAACTACTCAAGGAAAGTCCTTACTTCCAGCGTGTGAGTGTGACTCCAATTGTTGGCCAGTACAGGCTGTAAATGTATGTTTTGTATCGCCCACGACTACAGACACTGGGGACACTGGGGACACAGCTCTGAGAGGCTACACTAAACGCTAACACACAGCCGGCCCCGTGCGTAGCAAGGAACAGCCGGGCGACATGCCACTGTCAACCGACCCAGCCATCACCCACCCCCCCCCCCGTGCTTCTCTGTCTCTTTTCACATTCAACGAGAGACAGACAATACAGCTGTGCGAGGCGCTGGTAGGTAGTGGCGTCCACGGCCATGGAGGGAGCATCTAAGACTGTGGGCGTTCAGCAGTGAGACCATGAGACTATCGGCATCTTATAATGTTTCCTATCCAAACATCCAAGAGGATTACAATGGGACCTTCCTGGACTATGATCAATTTCCGCCACTGCACCCCTCTATTGGCTTGAACCAGAAAATGGCTGCTCATTGTTAAGACTCCAGGTGACTTTGAGCCCCTGTACCAGCTGTCCTCTGCCGGGGGTTTGGGTGTTCCCTCCATGGCTGTGGATGTCCCTCCAGCTACCTCTTCCTGTCCTAGTCAATCAACTGCCTGGGCACAGCCTGGACCACCTCCGCTGGGCCGTGCTCTCTGGATCAGAGCTCTGTCCCTTTGGCTGTTGTGGCCCGTCTCAGCAGCCCTCTTCTCAGGTGAGTTCTGTGGCTCTGGCCTCGCAATCAGCTTCGAGACACGGCAGAGGCCGGATCATTCCGGCTATTGTGATAGGGAGTTCGATGGTGGGGCATATATCTGTACCTGGGGCAAAGGCTGTTTTCCTGGAGCAAAAGTTCAGGATATCACCAGGTTGCTTCCCGAGCGTGTGCGTCAGTCACCGGGGGCTGATACTGTCATGGTTCATGTGGGGTCAAATGACATTATGAAGGGCAGCTCAGAACAGCTGAAGATGGATTTTAAAGAACTGATTGGGTCTCTACTTGACACCAACAAACACCCCATAATATCTGGCCCTCTGCCCTCCCTAAATCGTGGCGTTGAATGGTTCAGACTTTTAGCCCTCCATAACTGGCTACGAGACTATTGCAGCTCTGTGGGTGTAACATTTGACCATTTTGAAACCTTCTGGAAACAAAGCTTGTATTATAAGGAGGATGGGATCCACCCAAATAATGTGGGTTCCTGGATCCTTTCACAGCATTATAAGGCTGCGTTGAGACAATGACTTAGCAATGACCCAAGCCCAGCTCAGCTAATCCCTACCATTGAGACGCAGAGTTGTCAAAATGCTTCAGCAAATGTACATTACACCAGGGGCGTTGGAAGACAATGTAAGTCACCTAATGTATGTCCCTCTTAATGCCCTGAATGCCTCTGCTGATCCTACAGCTATTGTATGCTGTAAGCATATGCCTATGAACCAGATTTATACTGTTAGCAATGAGGTGGTGTGCCCTAGCAGGAAGTCCACTGTGTGCAGCTCACCCTGCACTAACATAAATAACCTGAGCATGTCTACCTTTGATAAGCTTCCCAGTAAAACAAGAAAAACAAGCAAGCATCCCAGAAAAGTGTTAGAAAACAGCCCACGTTAGCATATACAGCTTAAGAAACAAGGTTCATGAAATCAATAATTTGCTAGTAACAGATGACATTCATATTCTGACAATCTCTGAAACTCACTTAGATAATACAGTGGTAGCAATACATGGTTATAAGATCTACAGAAAATACAAATTCCAAAAGGTGGAGGTGTGGCTGTTTATATTCAGAACCACATTCCTGTAAAGCTTAGAGAGGATCTCGTGTTAAATACTGTTGAAGTAATATGGCTACAGGTTCATCTGCCTCACCTAAAGCCCATTCTGGTGGGAAGCTGCTATAGACCACCAAGTGCTAACAGTCAGTATCTGGATAACGTGTGAAATGATTGATACTGTATGTGATATCAATAGAGAGGTATATTTTCTGGGTGATTAATGAATAGCTTTCATCACTCAAGAAAAAGCTTCAAACTGTAACTATTGCCTGCAACCTGGTTAAGGTTATCAATCAACCTACCAGGGTAGTTACAAACAGCACAGGAATGAAATCAACATGTATTGATCACATTTTTACCAGTGGTGGAAAAAGTACCCAATTGTCATACTTGAGTAAAAGTAAAGATACCTTAATAGAAAATGACTCAAGTAAAATACTACTTGAGTAAAAGTCTACAAGTATTTGATGAAAAATATACTTAAGTATCAAAAATAAAAAGTAAAAGTATAAATCATTTAAAATTGCTTATATTAAGCTAACTAGAAGGCACCATTTATTTTTTATGTACGGATAGCCAGGGTCACACTACAACATGCTGACATAACTTACAAGCGAAGCATTTGTGTTTAGTGAGTCTGCCAAATCAGAGGCAGTAGGGATGACCAGGGATGTTCTCTTGATACGTGCGTGAATTGGACCATTTTCCTGTCCTGCTAAGCATGTATGGAGTAAAAAGTACATTATTTTCTTTAGGAATGTAGTGAAGTAAAAGTAAAAGTTGTCAAAAATATAAATAGTAAAGTAAAGTACAGATACCCCAAAAAACGACTTAAGTATTTTACACCACTGATTTTTACTAATGCTGCAGAAATTTGTTTGAAAACAGTATCCAATTCCATCGGATGTAGTGATCACAATATAGTAGCCATATCTAGGAAAACCAAAGTTCCAAAGGCTGGGCCTAATATAGTGTATAAGAGGTTATACTATACGTTTTGTAGCGATTCCTTTGTATAGAATACGTGTTGGTCCGTGGTGTTTAATGAGGAGCAACCAGACGCTGCACTTGACACATTTATAAAATTGCTTAACCCAGTTAATAAGCATGCACTCATTAAGAAAATGACTAAAAATTGTTAAAACCCTGTGGATTGATGAGGAATTGAAAAAAATTATGGTTGAGAGGGATGAGGCAAAATAAATGGCAAATAAGTTTGATTGGCAAACGTATTGCAAATTGAGAAATGTTGTGGCTGAAGAAAAAAAAGAAAAAAACTACACTATGAAACAAAGATAAATGACAAAGAATGATAGTAAAAAGCTTTGGAGCGCCTAAAATAAATTTTGGGCAAAAAGGCAAACTCCGCTCCATCATTCATTGAATCAGATGGCTAATTCATCACAAAACCCACTGATATTGCCAACTACTTTAATAATTTTTTCATTGGCAAGATTAGCAGACTTAGGCATGACATGCCAGTAACAAACGCTGACACTACACATCCAAGTATATCTGACCAAATTATGAAAGACAAGCATTGTAATTTTGAATTCCTTAAAGTATGGAAGAGGTGAAAAAATTATTGTTGTCTATCAACAATGACAACTTCGATGGAAAATTACTGAGGATAATAGCTGAAGATATTGCCACTCCTATTTGCCATATCTTCAATTTAAGCCTACTAGAAAGTGTGTGCCCTCAGGCCTGGAGGGAAGCAAAAGTTATTCCCCTACCTAAGGATAGTAAAGACCCCTTTACTGGCTCAAATAGCCGACCAATCAGCCTGTTACCAACCCTTTGTAAACTTTTGGAAAAAATTGTGTTTGACCAGATACAATGCTATTTTACAATAAACAAATTGACAACAGACTTTCAGCACGTTTATAAGTAAGGACATTCAACAAGCATAGCACTTACACAAATGACTGATGATTGGCTGAGAGAAATTGATGATAAAAAAATTGTTCGGGGCTGTTTTGTTAGACTTCAGTGCGGCTTTTGACATTATCGATCATAGCCTGCTGCTGGAAAAATGTATAAGTTATGGCTTTACACCCCCTGCTATATTGTGGATAAAGAGTTACCTGTCTAACAGAACACAGAGGGTGGTCTTTAATGGAAGCCTCTCCAACAAAATCTATGTAGAATCAGGAATTCCCCAGGGCAGCAGTCTAGGCCCCTTACTCTTTTCTATCTTTACTAACGACATTTGAGTAAAGCTTTGAGTAAAGCCAGTGTGTCTATGTATGCGGATGACTCAACACTATACATGTCAGCTACCACAGCGAATGAAATGACTGCAACACTTAAAGAGCTGCAGTTAGTTTCAGAATGGGTGGCAAAGAATAAGTTACTCCTAAATATTTCAAAAACTAAAAGCATTGTATTTGGGACAAATCATTCACTAAACCATAAACCTCAACTAAATCTTGTAATGAATAATGTGGAAATTGAGCAAGTTGAGGTGACTAAACTGCTTGGAGTAACCCTGGATTGTAAACTGTCATGATCAAAACATATTGACACAACAGTAGCTAGAATGGGGAGAAGTCTGTCCATAATAAAGCGCTACTCTGCATTTTTAACAGCGCTATCAACAATGCAGGTCCTACAGGCCCTAGTTTTGTCACACCTGGACTACTGTTCAGTCGTGTGGTCAGGTGCCACAAAGAGGGACTTAGGAAAATTGCAATTGGCTCAGAACAGGGCAGCACGGCTGGCCCTTGGATGTACACAGAGATCTAACATTAATAATATGCATGTCAATCTCTCCTGGCTCAAAGTGGAGGAGAGATTGACTTCATCACTACTTGTATTTGAGAGAGGTATTGACATGTTGAATGCACCGAGCTGTCTGTTTGAACTACTGGCTCGGACACCCATGCATACCCCACAAGGCATGCCACCAGAGGTCTCTTCACAGTACTACATAGAGCCATGACTACATGGAACTCTATTCCACAATGTTTAAAATAAATGCACACATTCACACACTCCTATTGAATAATATGCATTCACCTGTATTGGGAATAGACCAAGGCTACATCTTGATTTACCCAGTTTATCAATAGAGATTTACCATTCAAATTAATTATTACCATGATGTTGTTTTGTAGTTAGATTGGTAAAAACAAAGTCAAATTCATAGCATGATTGGTATAATTAATTAAATTAATGAATAAATGGCTGTCTCAAAAAAAATGGACATTAAAATTTTTCAAATGTAATGATATTGAACTAAAAGATGCCCGACGATTGAACAGAGCAGTAGCTGAGTTTATCTGTCTGGATCTAGTGCCATTCTGGGACTTTGGCTAATATGCATTCTGGTTTCGTTTTGGTATCGAGTATCGTGATACTAAACCTGGTATTGAAGTCAAAATTCTGGTATGATAACAACACCTGAGCCCATACACCAGAACCAGAGACGTTTACATTTCTATGTAGGCTATTTATTTTGTTAACTAATCCAGCATAACGTGGCTTTATTTTGTTAACTAATCCAGCATAACGTGGCTTTATTTTGTTAACTAATCCAGCATAACGTGGCTTTATTTTGTTAACTAATCCAGCATAACGTGGCTTTATTTTGTTAACTAATCCAGCATAACGTGGCTTTATTTTGTTAACTAATCCAGGATAACGTGGCTTTATTTTGTTAACTAATCCAGCATAACGTGGCTTTATTTTGTTAACTAATCCAGCATAACGTGGCTTTATTTTGTTAACTAATCCAGCATAACGTGGCTTTATTTTGTTAACTAATCCAGCATAACGTGGCTTTATTTTGTTAACTAATCCAGCATAACGTGGCTTTATTTTGTTAACTAATCCAGCATAACGTGGCTTTATTTTGTTAACTAATCCAGCATAACGTGGCTTTATTTTATTTGCGCAACACAGGACAGAAGTGTTGTAATGTCATGTAATCCGACTATAGGCAAGGAAGTGCAACACCTTGCTGGCCACACACACGCGAGATGATCATTGGTTAGTGAACATACACACAGAGCAGCCGGTTGGTCAGGATTCCCTACCTTCCTGGCGAGCAGGCTTTTCCTCCTCATGCCACAGGCCTCCAGGTGTAGACGTCCTCTGATGGCCAGCTCTATCAGCATGCAGCCACGCAGCCCTGACGAGATGCAGTCGTTCCAGAACGACGTGTAGCCCTTAGAGAAGAAGAAGAGAAGAACAGGGGGTGAGCGCGCGTGTGTGTGGGGGGGGGGGGGGGGGGGGGGGGGGCATGTATGAGAGCATACAACCACAGAGCCCTGATGAACGATGTGTTGAACAGAACAGTCACTACACTGTAGAACTGGGCGATATGGACAAAAATCCATATCACGATAAATTGACTGAATTATCATGATAACGATAAATAGAACGATATGTACACTACCAGTCAAAAGTTTTAGAACACCTACTCATTCTAATGTAGAAAATAGTCAAAATAAAGAAAAACCCTAGAATGAGTAGGTGTTCTAAAACTTTTGACCAGAAGTGTATTATTATTTTTTTTTATGATTCACAGGCCTACAAAAGGGGGGGGGGGGGGCCACGGGACCCAGACTCCAGATTTCCGGACACTGCTCATCTCCATACATAAGACTGTAGCTGATTGAATCAAGGTTTTGTACCACTCCTTTTTTATGGGGTCGCTCGTCAAAACGTTTGAAAACCACTGGAATTTCAAAATGTATGCACTCACTAACTGTAAGTCGCTCTGGATAAGAGCGTGTGCTAAATAACTAAAATGTAAAATGTAAAATGAATATATGATAGTGGCAACAGATGGAGTTGGGTTGGATATAGTATTGGTAGGCTACAGTATTTTGTACAATCTTCTATTTTGATTGGAATTGTGTTGTCATTGTTAATAAGTGCACAATTTATTCCACTTCAAAATAGTCTTGCAAAATACTTTACTCATCAGATGGTGCTGCTCAACAGTTAACATTAACCTAGCCCAGTGGTGGTCAGTCTGAGGGGGAGGGAGGGAGCAGCGGTGAGGCTGCCTCTCACCCGACTCACCGTCCCTCCTCTCTCCCTCCCTCCGCTGAGTAAAGGGGACACAGTCTTCCAGCTGATGGCGAAACTCAAGTCGCACTGCATTATTTCTGCCTCGTGCACCAATTCATGGTGTTACTCCTATGACCAGAGAAAGTGAAATATTCCTCGATATATAAAAAAACAAGCCGCTAATAACAACAGAAGCTTATTGGAACGCTTTGCTGTACTCGTTCATTACAGCTGCAGTGCTGGAAGTAGGGAGAATGTGCTGAATATCAACTTAAACATGAACTTATAAAAACAGCAGCTCTTCGCTGTATTCGTTGAGTCCGTCTGGTCATGGTTTTAAAAGTTTTAAAATCTCACAGTATCAACTTTGCTGCGCGTTCGAGGCTTCTTTTTTACAGTCTATAGCTCGAGGAAACTGTGCAGACACGGTGATCTGTATTATCTGATTTTGCTAGCAGTAGGCCTATAGGTGCACTTGATTTGCTCTCTGGGCCTGCTGGGTAGGCAGAGTTCTACCTTCAGACACATGAAATGAACACTACCTTCCGGGCACTAGGGCTGCTGAATCAAGTGCACCTACCGTCAACAGTGCGAAACGAATAAAAACAAATATGAACGCAAAGGCTTTATCGTTGTTGTTTTTTTTACAGAAGTGTTTGGTGATCGACAAAGAATGGAGACCGATCGGTTGGTGACCACTGGTCTATACCCTACCCTTTCTCCTTATGTTATATTCTGAGGTAGACTGGCTCTGCCAGCCAAAACAGCCAAATACTCCATCTAAAAGTGAATTGATTCTCAATTACAATACGGTTCTAGAAACATAAAGCCCTTTACTTTCATATCACATCAAAACGATGTAACAGTGTTGCTTCCGTCCCTCTCCTCACCCCAACCTGGGCTTGAACCAGGGACCCTCTGCACACATCGACAACAGTCACCCTCAAAGCATCGTTACCCGTCGCTCCACAAAAGCTGCGGTCCTTGCAGAGCAAAGGGAAACATCTACTTCATGGTCTCAGAGCGAGTGAAAAGCTGTTTGCGGAGCTTTGTTTGAACAAAAGGAGAAAAAAGACCACCCACTAAGTTTAATCAAACTGCCCAAGGACCAGGTTAGATGAAGCTCATGATTTCAGGCTATTACGCCACGATGATGATGGAAAGCTTTGGGCTCTGGTTACTCCATAGATCGGTGTGTTCGAGGCAATTCATCACCGGTAAGTCGATAACACGTGTATGCAGCTAACTAGCTATGTGTATTGCATCAAGCTTGCTAGTTAGCTTGTAGTAAAGGCCTAGTGAGATGTATCCGTCTAAATAACAGCTATAATATTATTCTGCATTTGGATATTTATGCAAACCTGGAGATTCCACCAAGTAGGTGTAGATATCGCCATAAGCTACTTTGGGCCATTTGGTAGGGTTGTCTGCCCAGCTATTCTCCAGGAAGTTGAAAGAACATATAGGCAAGCCAACAAGAATCAACTTTTCTAAATCCCTTTCAAGGGCAGGTAAAGACGCAGTAGTAACGCAACATATCTAACTAGCTAATTAGATCGAGATGAACTTCTCTCGCTCGCCAGCCAGCTGACACATGTTAACTGGCAAAAGGACTAGGGGGTAAACAAACAGTGACGTAAGTATGGTGCGACAGCTTTACCGTCAGCAAGTCGAGTGACAAGTTAAGAGTGGCAGAATAAGTATCATGCAAATCATTTGTTGTTGTGACAGCCAAGTGTGTTTATAACGACACCTGAGGCTGCTGAAAACGTTTATTTAAAACAACAACAAAAAAGTCTTAGTAGTTTGCCGCCCAAGTTAGGCTTATTACATGGGAGTAGCCTATTGCTGTACCCTACTGGTCAAGTTAAACCACGCCTCGCCGTGTGTATCTAGATAGTTTTTTGAAAATTGATTTATGCTGATATTATAAAAGAGGTTCCTTATGCTTCCAAAACCGTATCGCTAGCGTTGTTCAGACCAAGCGTCGGGGCTCTTAACAAAACTTCCCCCTTACAGAAGACGCCTTGGTCCAATGGCATGATCAAGGGCTAACGTTAGTCTCTTTTTGGCACTAAAAATTAACTACCTAGTTAAAACCTTGTCAATGTAGCCAGCAAGTCAATGTAAACGTAACTAGATAACTAAATAGGTAGGTAACGCTAGTTAGCTGTGCAGTTAACTAGCTAGCATTAGCTAGTAATAATTTGATGTTGACTAAATGTAACTAGCTATCGCATGTTAGTCCATTTTATTTGACGTATTTGAATAACGTTAGCTAACGTTACCCAACCAGCTAAATATGGTTTTAGTTGTAAAATAAATACAAAAATGTAATTATACCTCGCGGTCCTTCAATCCCAAGAGTAGCACTTCTTCCATCAAAGTGAGTCGAGTTTCTTTGGAGTCTCCCTTGTCTTGCTCCTCCTGCTGCTCTTCCCCGCGGCGGGGCTCGAAGTCCTCATCCCCGGACCCTCCGTCCTTGTCGGCGGCGGCGGTACGAGAGGCCCCGGTCCGCCTCTGCACTAGGCCCGAGCTCCGCTGTGTCAGGGAAGTCATGTCTACAAGTTTCTAACGATAACGGCGAAACCAACCCAGCTCACCTCGGGCCTCTCACTGCCCCGGCCGTGATTTAAACCACTTTAATTTGCCGGACACATACAGCTACCCGACTCCAATGATTGTTTTAGCCCTGGTAATGACAACTAGACCCCAACCAATGTAGCGACATATAAGCAGTATTTCAGTATTTCCCTCAGCCTCCACTCTCCCCGTCCACTGGTAGTTTATCCAATATGGCGATGAGCGATGACGAGAGCAGTTGATGTGGCACTTGAGTTGAGGTAGTTAGAGCGTCCCACAGGTAAAGCCAGGGGAGGAGAAAACCAGACGTGTCGGGAGCAGGGGACAGGTTCCCATTTGGCCGACGACAGTCATTGGGTGACTTTCTCCAAAGTGCTAATTTTATGATGAAATAGAAGTCTGTAAGTCGCTCTGGATAAGAGCGTCTGCTAAAATGACTAAAATGTAAAAGTCAAATATGTGAACGCTTTCAGGTATGATGTCCCTAGGTCAACCTACAGATATTATATAGAGGTATGCCCCGCAGTGTTGCCACCTCCTCAGTAAGGAAAGTAGCTATTGGCTGTCCTAAAAGTCGCTAGAAGGCGCTACATTTGCATAATTGGCCATGAGCATGTAACTGTGATGGACCCTGTAGGAGAGAGGAATAACGCTGTAGGAGAGAGGAATAACGCTGTAGGAGAGAGGAATAACGTCGTGGGAGAGACAAAAAGTGAGTAAAAAACACCCTAAATATGTTTAGAACTACAAATGAACTTTCTTCTGTCGATTTTTTATTTTTATGTCACAATTCCAACCCTCCTCCTTTATCCGGGCTTGGGACCGTCAAAAAGGGACCCAAAAGAGACACTGGCGGAGTTACTTCGTTTTTTTTTTTTTTTAGTTTAGTTTTCTTAAGTTTGGTTTGGTTTTTAACCTTATGGTCCACTTAGGAGCCTACAACAAGTCACAGTAAAACATGAACATTTTTTACCATAACATTAAAAAAAAAAAATTGTATACAATCTACATTAACAATCTAAATGGACCAAAAAGAGACAATATAAATGAATGGCAATGGCAATGTGAGAAAATGATGGTAACTAGTCTGGCCCTAATTCAGGTTATTTTTAATTTTTTCCAGACCCCCCTCCACACACACACAGGCTGTGCTGGCTCACAGAAAGAGTGGGTCATCGTCATTTTGGTCAAGGCTCTCTATGGCAGGTTCAGCAACTGAGGGAGCTGACTTAAATGAGTAAGCAGCTGATGTGCCAGAAAGCTGCAAAACATTATCAGGCAGCTGGTGCTCATAGCAAGCCTCACCAGACAGCTTCAGTCCATATCGAATGTACAGGATGGAGTTAAGGGTCTGCAAGGACATTCGATTTCTAAGTTTGCTTTTTACCACACTCATCTGGCTGAATACTCTCTCGACTTCAGCATACGAGTGTGGCAAGGACAACACAGACACAGCAGCCGTGGCAAGTTCTTGAAACGGGTTGATATCAGCTGCATCCCTGAACTTCCAAATCTCACTCCAGAAGCCCAGTGTGTTTTTTGTCTCATTCCATTTACTAAGATGGATGGCACGCCATTGCTGGACAATCTTGTCTATCTCTGCAGGGGAGTAGCCAAGGAGCTTGGCTATTTTGTCTATTTCTCCAGGGCTCTTATTGTGCTTTAGAGTTTCCTCCACATTGAAAACTGACATGTACTGCAATGCTTCGATGTTGTCCGGCAGTCTCACCCTCAACTCATTAGTGAGGGAGATGGTGAAGGCTACACGCCGCTTTCGGACGTTGTTTTCATCCTCAGGCGCAAGGTGGAGCTCAGCTGCCTTTGACTCAAAAAGGTAACCAAGGTACGGTTTGGGACTGATGTATATCCATCTATTGGCCCTTTGAGTACATCAACATTTGCCAGTGGATTCAGCACCCTGCTGCTCACAGACTTGATCAGGCTAACCAAGCTGTCAAGTAGCTTAAGAGGATATACTTGCTCTCCTTCGAAAGCCTTGACGGCCAACTGTACCTCACCCAGCACTGACTTCAAAAAAGTCAGATACAATATGTTTTGTGGATCACCGTACATGGAGTATAAAACCTCAGCCATGTAGCAGTGTTCACTGGACTTGGTGACTGCGAAATGCAGCCTAAGCTCCTCCCACTGGTCCAAAATACGTGAAACCGCGGGTTCAATGGAGAGCCAACGTGTGGCACACGCCTTGGTTATCTGTAAAGGTTTCTCCCCACAGTTGATGGTCTCATATATGGCCTTGTAGGCCTCCCTGCGCTTTGGAGACACTGAAAACCAGTTATAAGTCTCTCGTACCAAGTACTCCACACTACGGGGGATGGTGTCATTGGAAGCATGACTTACAGCAAGCTGCAGCGAGTGGCACACACAGCGAATAAGAACCAGATCTTTGAGGCCGTACTCCTCCTTCAGCACTTTATGGACCCCATTGTTAATCCCCGTCATAACAGAGGCATTGTCAGTCCATATCCCTAGGAGTTTCTCTTTTTTAAGACAACACTTCTCGAGGAAAGCCACAACAGCACAGGCTATATCCAACTCAACATGCCCCAGAAATGTTGATACAATTGTCTGCTTGGTGTCACTAAAGTACCTTAACACAACCCCCCAGGTACTTAGAAACACTTACATCCGTGGACTCTTCAAGGAGGAGTCTGAAACGCTGGTCACCCACATCGGTAACCAACTTTTTCAGAAAGTAATTAATCATTTCTGTGCACTTTGTCCCGTGCGTTTTGAAGTGGGTAGCAGCAGTGGAGTCTGAGAAAGCAGCTCTACATGCTTCTCCAATGTGATCACATGCCAGCATGGAACAGTGGTCAGCGATAGCTAATGTCATGGTGGCCTCAGCCTTTTTTGCAGAGTCAATGTTTTTAACCATAAATGGCAGCTTGTTTTGGGTGAAACTGTTATAAGGCTTTGCCTTTTGAGTATGTTTTTGAGTTGTCATGTGTTTTCTTACATCACTAAGTTTGGCGTAGAAATCAACCTTACAATACAGGCAGTATGCCCGTGTATCATCTCTGTTACGTTCCCCAGTTTCTGTGTTGTAGGTTGTGTATTTTCATGTAGGTATTTCAGGAAATGGGTTCCTGAAATTCCCCAACAAGCAGCTGATTGGTCAATGAACATTGATGATTGGAGAGCTGACCCCGTGCCCTCGTCAGGACCCAGCTGTCTCCAATTTACCAACTCCTCCTGAAGCTATATAAGCCCCAGTTGCTCAGGAAAGGGGGAAACCAGAATGGCTGAGAGTTACAGCATGTTGGTTGTATGCTAAGAGTTTGGTATGTACTGTGTTGTTGCGGTGAGAACCAATTGTAATGTTTTGTGTTAGTTTGTGGCTCAGAGTTTCTTTAATGTCCTGAGTTAGTTTTTTTTCTCAGGTTTTGTTGTTGAACCAGTTTGAGCTATTTTTGTTTCATTTGTTCCCAAGGGGGGAAGGGGAAGGCACCTAGGGAGTGCTTAGGCAAGAGGCCCGCGGGCATACATTACCCGTAGAAGTTGACTGTCTATGCACACTAGGAAAGACCTGGGCGGACCATCCCTTGTATTTTGGTTAGTGCACCAGGTGGTGCTAGTTCAGTAAGTAGTGGGTAGGCAGGTATGGTAGGAGAGGGGGCTTTGATATTTACTTTCTTTGCTTTGGTTCCGTCCAGCCCCTTTTCCCCAAACTTACAGAGCGAAGGAATAAATTCCCTGTTAACGGTATTCTCTGCCTTTTGTCATCCTTACTCAACACCTACAGTCCCATACCTCTTTCACACCACGGAGAGTTGAGTTGTAGCAGGGTGTTGCGTTCCCTCTTCCGAGAGGCGTGCGTAACAATCTCCAATAAACGGCTTCAACCAGCCTTTGAATTCAGGGTTTGATTCCCACTCCTTTCTGTATTTTTGAGTGTACAGTTTAGACTGAGACGTGATGAGCTAGCCAGCTAGATGTTTAGCTTATGTCACAGAGAGGCACACACACAGTGGACGAGGTGAGTAAGTGACTGAGGCTGTGGGAGTCAAATGCAGTGATTTATTTTTGTGCAGTGATTTATTTTAGACCAAGAACATTTTTACATTTAAATCCCGCCCTGAATGTAAGCCAGGGCGGGATCAGCCAGAGGCAGGTTCCCGCATGCGCGATTCATTGGCAGTCTGGACGCGGAGGGGTGAACATCTCCTGCTCTGACTGCAGCTAGGAGGGACTGGGCCGCCTGTGAGTGCTTTGGGACGGAGGTGGGGCCCACGGCAGCTGGGAGGGACTGGGCCGCCTGTGAGTGCTTTGGGACCGGGGGGGGGGGCCCACGGCAGCACCCACTGCTCGTTGAGAAGAGTAAGAACAATACGTGCTTTTTTAAGCCTTGAGACATGGGTTGTGAATGTGTGCCATTCAGAGGGTGAATGGGCAAGAAAAAAGTATTTATGTGTCTTTGAACTGGGTATGGTAGTAGGTGCCAGTGTAACCGGTGTGAAATGGCTAGCTAGTTAGCGGTGCGCGCTAGTAGCGTTTCAATCGGTGACGTCACTCGCTCTGAGACCTTGGAAGTAGTTGTTTCCCTTGCTCGGCAAGGGCCGCGGCTTTTGTGGAGCGACGGCTAACGGTGCTTCGAGGGTGACTGTTGTCGATGTGTCCCCGGTTCAAGCCCAGGTTGGGGTGAGGAGAGGGACAGAAGCAACACTGTTACACCAGGCGCACCGGTTTGAGTGTGTCGAGAACTGCACCACTGCTGGGTTTTTCACACAACAGTTTTCCATGTGTATCAATAATGGTCCACCACCCAAAGGACATCCAGCCAACTTGACAACTGTGGGAAGCATTGGAGTCAACATGGGCCAGAATCCCTGTGGAACGCTTTTGACACCTTGTAAAGTCAGTCCATGCCCTGACGAATTGAGGCTATTCTGAGGGCAAAAGGGGTATTCCTGAATATGGTCCTTATTGGGACACCGTAGGCCTACATGAAGTCT